CTCTCCCTGCTTGTGTTCCCTCTCTTGCTGTCTCTCTCTGTCACATAAATAAATAAAATCTTTAAAAAAAGAAAAAAAGAAATAGTCAAGATGAACAGCTGTCATTTTGGTATCCCTTTATCCTGAAGTTCTGGGTTTGTTCTCAAATTTCTGGTAATCCTGTATCTTCTAAGATCCTTTGTCTTCCTTATCACCCTTGTTTTGCTAAGACGTGTTTTTTAGGTAACTTTCTAAGGGTGAATGGGTACGTGATTTACTTTATTTCTGTATATCAGAGATTCTCTTTATTTTGCTCTTAACACTCAGCTGTAGCTTAGCGGGATACAGAAATCTAACTTGAAAATAGTACCTTCAGGCCAACACTCCCCATCCCTTTCCCGGGTTACTTCTTTCCTAGCACCTACGTCATAATCGTCTCTCTGCCTCCTACATACACTCTTTATTCTTTTTCTTGCTTTACTGGAATGTACGTTCTATGGGGGCAGAGATGTTTTTTGGCCTGTTTTGTTCAATAATAATGCCTAGAACAGTGCCTCTCCCCCAGTAGGCACCCAATATTTGTTTATTCCAGTACCCTCAAGCATCCATTGTTGCTAAAATACGGTGCCAGTTGAATTTTTATTCTTTCATAAAATGTGTACTGCTGTCATTCTCTTAGGAATTCCTTTTTTTTTTTAAGAAATTTTACCATGGCACTCCATGTGCAGGTTTTTTCCTCCCCATTCAACTTCTCTGGGACCTGCTGAACCCCTCTGATCCAAAGACTGTCTCTTTCTGGAACTCCAATAGTCAGTTCATGACCTGGTCCACCAAGCCCCATTTTTCCCTTCATGATATTTTCCATCTCTTTCTCTTTTTGGTCTGCATTCTGGGAGAGGTAACCTGGAGTTTACTTCCAGGGCTTGTGTTGAATTTTTAAAATTTTTTTGCAGTAGTATTTTTAGTTCCTAAGAGCTCTAATCTGTTCGCTGGTGTTTCCTTTTTCATAGCTTCCTGTTCTTAGGGACTCAGTGTTTCTCCAATTCTGAGAATATCTTTTTGAAAAACTTAACAGCTTTTCTATTCCCTAGATTTCCCCCCACCTTGTAGTTGGTTACCATGTCCATTTTAGCCTTTTCTTTCCAAGCTACTGGTTAATGTCATGTCTAGTGATCCTTGGGTTATCTGTTGATATTAAAAAAAAAAAGAATTCTAGATTCTCTTCTGTTTATTTTGGAGTCTCTTCTTTAATTTGGGAAGATGAGTAGGAACTCTATGAATGTGGATGGCGTTTGTTACTTAGTAGGTTTTGCTTTACAGTTATGAGACCAGTTGTCAGCTGTTAAGTTTCCAGAATGAGAAGGATTTACCCTGGAGTACTACTACTCACAACAAGTAATTCTTACTCTCTTCAATACCTAAGGGATGAGTTTCTGCCTGGAGGTAAATGCAGGGTTGTAGTAGCTTTATATAAAGATGTGTAGTGTACGTGTACAGGGATTGGGGGTGCATGTGCACACGGTCGTGTGTGTGTGTGTGTGTGTGCGTGTGTGTGCGTGTGTAGCAAGCCAGGGCAAATGGCATCAGGAGTCTCTCCAGAGTTCCACTTAAGCTGTAGCCACCTCTAATATACTTCCACCTCTCCATAGTCATGTTTTTCATTTTCCAGAAATAGAAGTTTCTGGAAAACTCTTTAATCTTCTGACGATAATACTTTCCCCACCTATTCTTCTGTTATAATGAGGAGTCAAATGCATGTGTTTAGTCCCCATCTTAATACGTATTTTGGGAGATAAAACATTTATGAGTGTCTCCAATTTACAAATCTCAACCTCAAATTTCATTTCCTTTTACCCCAAATATCATGAAAATATTCTCAAACTCTAATACCTCAGGCACTAATCTCCATCTTTTAGCCAGCTTTTCATGTGGAAATAGCTCAGAAATCTCTTAGAATTTTAATACTGGCATCTCTTCAGGATAAACCTAAATGTTTCACCTTCTTTCACAGCAAGAATATAAAATAATCCTCCTATACCTTCCCAGTGTACTTTCCTTACCATGAGACTGAAGAACATTTGATCCAGTTGGTGGTATTATACACTACCACTGAAGCAGTAACATTTTTCACTAGTTGTGGCCTAATTAGACCCACTGAGCTTCCCAAAATGAGAGGACCTACTTTATTACCTAATAAACACACCTCACGCTTTCACAGAAGGGTCCTTATCTCACATGCACTAGCTGAAGAAGGTCTCGTGAATTTCATTACTTTGGGAAGAACAGAGTATATTTCAGACAAGCTAGCAGTCCTGCAGAGCAAAGAAATCAGGCATCCTTCAACATTCAACAAGTACTTACTAAATGACTTTTATGTGTTAGGCACTATTCTAGGTATTAGGGAATAAAAGGCAAAAATCCCTATTCTCATGAAACCATATTCCACTGAGGAGAGACCTACAAGAAACAAAATACATAGTATGCTGAATGATCACTGCTATGGAAAACATAAAGCAGGTTAGGAACATAATGAGCGCCAGGAGGGGGCTCGTGGAATGTTACATGGAACGAGGTGACAAAGTGAGCCATGTAGATGTGTGGGGAGAGAGCACTCCGGGCAGGGAGGATAGGAAGTGCCAAGGCTCTCAGTAAGGGAGTGCGCCCGGGATACAGAAGAAAACAGCCAGGAGGCCACTGAGGCTGGACCTGGGTGAATAAAGGCAGAAGACCCAACGGGGGCTAAATCAGGTATGACCCCCAAGCCATTACAATGACTTTTCCCAGGACTGAGGTGAATGCTGCGGAGGGTCTGGAACAGACCAAAGGGGAGCCGGAAGCAAGCAAGGAGACTGGGTGGAAGACTATACTTTCTCAGGAGCTGAACTCCCTGGCAACTTCCTTTCCATTCCGACACTTCCCATTGTTTCCTCTACTGGCGGTCCTTAACAACGAGAAGTTAGAAATTCTGTGTATTACTGATATTATATCCAGACTTCACATTTTTCTTTTAATTAGCACAACAGTTTCGAGCATATAACTTGTAGGAATGATTTTCACATATCATTGTTTTATCTGCAGGTGAGAGAGGTAACACTGGAGTTGGCTCACTCAGCATCTCCTTGAAGGAGAGGTAGTAAGTCTGACTGACCTGTACTAGAAGCTGACGAATGACTTAAAGCCAAGAGTGAAAGAGAAGAGTTAGTAACTTCCGTCTATATGATACCTGATTCAGGAGCCTCTCAAACACACAAAATGGAAAATGTCCCATTATGTTGTCCCCTTACCCTTAATCATATCAGGTCCGTATTCTGAGGTTCAGAAAGACAAGGGTGGCTTGCCTAAGATCACACGGCTAACGACCGGGTAATCAGAAATCCAACTCGGGTCTCTTAATCTCAAGACCAGTGCTTTTTGCATTGTGCCCCGTCCACCCAGCTCCACGACTCCCCACAGGACCAGGTTTTTAAAGACGATGGAGTGTGAGGCGAGACAGAGAATGCACCTCTGCTTCCTGCAGAATGGCAATGCACATGAGGAGGCATTTGTCCTTAGTTTGTCATCTCTCCCTCAGCTACTCTTAGAAAGTGGACAAATATTAGTATCTAGATCGAAATTCATTGAAAAGTTACCTGCAGAAATCATGAGCTATTAGTAGATAAAGGCTCACTGGAGAAATGAATCATGTAGCATTTTAAACCCTCTCTCCCTCTCTGTCTCTGAATCCTATTCTTGTTCTGGCTAGAGAACCGATCTCCTCTTCTTTTAAATAGTGAGAGTGTGGGAGAGAGAAGTGTGAAGAGCAACACAGGATGGCTACAGAAGATGAAAAAATCAGAAGTGAGGTTTATACACAGAGCAATGAAGTGAAGACATAAGCTGAATTCAGCAAGCAGTCACTTGTTCTTTGAAAGGCACACAGTTAGAAACAAAGATGACATTTCAGGAATCACCAGCCTAAACAAACACCCACAACCACTTAAAACCAAGGATTTAGTTCCAAGCCCTAATGTCTAAAGCTACTGCTATTACAGTATCCATTTGTGGGAGCTCCTACCTCTTATGCAAATTTTGATGGTAGAGGAATCTTGTACCTTATCAGCTGTACTGGATACAAAAATAACGTGGTACTAGAAGAAATGTTTACACACACTAATATATGCAGCACTAAGAGATTTAGAGTCTGAGTCTTAAGGAAAAAAGAGGACAGCAACGAAAATGATAGTTCTTCATCATTACGCTTTTAGCCACAGAAAGGAAGAAGGAAGAATCAGGCTTACATCTAGTCAGTCTTATGAATTTGATCAAAGGCAAAAATATTGGCAGCAAGGCTTCCAGAATTTCATAAAACAGCGAGTTACTCTTTGACGACCATTTTATTTATTTTCGAGTGGGAGAAGGTAATTTCTTCTTCATTCTTTGGCACATCTCATGTCAGTGCCATGTGTTAAAATCCAATTAATTACCACGCAGATGGAATGGCTATCTGAGTCAACTGAAGGGTGGGTTACAAAAGGATATACCACATGCTTGTGAAATTTCAGAATCACTCTTGAATCTTTCTGAAAACGTATTTCCTACCTGAGGGGCATTTGTAGCCACTAGAAATGCATTTGTCCGCCCTGGGTGATCGTAATCATGCATGGCGGCTGCCACATAGAGAGCCATCAATTCCAGCGCAGGAATGTTTGAAGAAAGGCAACCATAGCTCTCGTCTGGAATAGAGCAGCTCCTCGAAGAAATGTAAGCCAACTGCCCAGGGTTCATTCTGCCATCAGAATCTGAGGAACAAGCAAAATAAGCCAGCATGACAAAAAACTTCCTCACAAAATAAGACTAAGGAGGGGATTCCCCATAGGCAATATGATTACTTATCTTACTTGTTGACTAAGCTAAGAAATACACTCTATTTATAAACAGGGACTTAAAACAGTCTATTCTTTCCAACACACATGCTACTAGAGAGGAACAAGGTTAAACATGACGCAGAAGTCACTTACTTTATAAAGACATTATGAGATTTTTATGATGCTCTCTTACTCGAGCTAATAATTTTTTAAAACCTCCGGTTTTCTGAACATTTATTATTGAAGGACTAGAGATAATGGCCAGGGCATAGGAAGTAACAGGAAAAAACAATCTAGAGAATAAAATTTCATGGAAACTGTATAAAGATTTAGGAATTTAATGTATTAACAAACTAAGCTTCTCAACATAGATGCTTTTCAAATCTTACTAGAGAGATTACATTTCATTGTAGCCCTGACTACAATCTCTCCTCCCTTCTCTTTTTCCATGAAGCCCCTTATAAGACAATGGCAAGAAAAACTACGGAAAATGAAAAGACGTAGAAAACCGAGGAATGTCTCATAACATAATTCTTTTTATCTTCTAGTTAGAAACAATATTTTCACTATCAACACTGTGCTTTCCATGTCTTAATATCTTACGATTGATTTCTTCATTTTTTTTGTATTTTAGTGGCTTTATCTATTTAGATGGTCATTCTATTACTTTTACTAAAATGACCTTAAAGTATAAGAAGGAAAAAATAAATTATATTTAGAGTAGACAGCAAATAAAACCACAAAGATATTAGAGAGATACAAAATTTCACAGATTGACTTCATCAGTGGCAAACTAGGAATAATGTCCTGGCTTGTCAGAGTCCAAAATGAACTTTATCATAATTTACTTCACTAAATATTTGCCATCACATGAATTAAAAAAAAATTTTTTTTTTAAAAAAGATTTTATTTATTTATTTGACAGAGAGAGACACAGCAAGAGAGGGAACACAAGCAAGGGGGAGTGGGAGAGGGAGAAGCAGGCTCCCCGCTGAGCAGGGAGCCCAATGCGGGGCTCGATCCCAGGACCCCAGGATCATGACCTGAGCTGAAAGCAGACGCTTAACACCTGAGCCACCCAGGCGCCCCACATGAATTTTTTTAACATAATGACTTTAATACACACTAGTGATAATTACAAAGATACCTCATTATTTTTACGCTGTTTCTATTTTTTAATTAAACTGAGTTTTAGAATCACCCACACTAGAACTTTTAAAAAATAATTATAAAAAATAAAAGCAAGACAGTTAAATGTATGGATAAAGATGTATTTAAATATTCAAATTTCTAATAAGACTTTAGTTATCAACATTAGCCAATAATTTGATTTTTCCCTATGTTATATGCATTCTGGATTTCCCCTAGAATTATAAATACACATATAAAATACCAAAAATGGCAAAAGACATCCTTTTAAACTCAATTACTTAAAATTGACATATTAGGATCCTAATACATTCAGTTTTGTTTTAACATGAAATTAATAGTATGAAAAATAAAATAGCTGGCAAGGACAATTCAACATAACTATCACAGATCCTATTTGTTTACTTTCTTCAGAAAATGATGATTCTTTTAATTGACTGATTAATTTAAAAGGAGGCCTCAGTAAAAGGCATCCAGACCGGAAGAGAAGAGTATAGTGTAAACCCTGACAGTACCCCCCACCCTTTTTTGTAACATAAGTGCCTGATTTAAGCTTTGATCTCCCAGGCATCCATTTCAAAGATGCCAACTGCAAAGATACACCCTGCCAGCCACCTGTCTAGACAAACAGCCAGGCCACTTCTGTTTTAGAAATCCTGGTTCATTTCAATAACTGACCATGTGGGCTGCTGGTTTTTTCTCTATCCATGCTTTACATTCCTGCTCTTATGCTTTAAATTCACCAATAAAGAGTGAGCCAGTGAAACCCCCCTACTCTTGACCCCAATAAACCTCAGGTGCATCTGCTTGCATGCATGCTTGTGCATGTTCTCTCTCTCTCTCCCCCTGTGACCTTGCTCTGTGGTCCCAGCTATGCTGTGTAATTTTCAATTCCTATAACCATTATTTTTTTAAAGTTTCTTGATGGTTATTGGTAAAGGGCATCTTGCAATCATAATAACCACAAGAGCTGGTCCAGCCACAACACTGGTTATTGACAGGCTGAGACCAACACACAACAAAGAGGTAAAACTATCTCTACTTATAGATGACATGCTCTTGTATATAGAAAAAATACCACAAAATCAATTAAAAAACTATTAGAACTAATAAAGGTGATCATCAAGATTGCAGGATAAAAGATATCACTATGCAAAAATCAATTATTTTTATATGTGATAGCAATGAATAATCAAAAAATGAGCCCCAAGAAACCATTCCATTTACACTAGCACCAAAAAGAATAAAATACTTAGGAATAAACTTAACAGAAGTACAAAACCAGTATTCTGCAAACTAAAAAATATTGTTGAAAGAATTTAAAGACTTAAATAAGCGGAAAAAACACCCATGCTCCTGGACCATTAGACTTACTATTGTTAAAATAGCAATACTCCCCACAAATGATCTACAGATTCCACATAATCCCTATCAAAATCCTAGCTGCCTTTTTTTTTTTTTGTAGAAAGTCACAAGCTGGACCTAAATCCATATGGAAATACAAGAGAACCAGAATGGCCAAAAAAATCTTGAAAAAGAACAAAGATGGAAGACTTAAACTTACCAATTTCAAAGCTTACTAACAAAGCTCTGAAGATAATGTACTGGTATAAGGACAGACATAAAAGTCAATGGACTAAAACTGAGAGTCCAGAAATAACCCCTCATATTTATGGCCAACTGATTTTGCACAAGGGTGCTAAGACCATGCTGAGAGCCATCCATGTGCCCTGCATGATGTCAGGCTCTTTCATACATGTTGTTTCATTCAATGCTCACAATCTTATAAGGTAGAAATTGATTTAGTAACATTTAAGAGCTGACTATGTGGAGTATATATAAAGAACTCTTTTCAACAAATGGTTCTGGGACAACTGGATATTCATGTGCAAAAGAAAGACCTCTTCCTTTATCCCCCAAATTAGTTCCAATGGGTCACAGACCTAAACTTCCTATAACTATGAAACTCTCAGAAGAAAACATAGGAGTAAATCTTCATGATCTTGGGTCAGGCAAAACCCTTCTTAGATATGATACCAAAAGCATGAGCAACAAAAGAAAAAGATAAATTAGACTTCATCAAAATTAAAAGTTTTTGTACTTCAATAGACACTATCAAGAAAGTAAAAAGACGGGCGCCTGGGTGGCTCAGTTGGTTAAGCGACTGCCTTCGGCTCAGGTCATGATCCTGGAGTCCCGGGATCGAGTCCCGCATTGGGCTCCCTGCTCGGCAGGGAGTCTGCTTCTCCCTCTGACCCTCCTCCCTCTCATGCTCTCTGTATCTCATTCTCTCTGTCTCAAATAAATA